CCAAAATCAGCACATCCCATAAGCTTTACTAAATCGACCTCTAATGTCCAAGCTGAAGTGTTTCTCAGGAAATGAGTTTGTCCCTTAATTTATAGTACATTCTAACTAGTCTATATARAACATGCTATGACATAAGGCACTTTCAGGTTATAATATTTTGTATTAGAATCTCATATTGTAAAATGGTTTAGTGTTTAAAAGAAATAAGCAGTAATAGGTTTTTTACCATAAATTAATTTGGTTTGAGTCCTTTGGGTTACAGGTAGATATCTAGCCATATTGCCATCTGCTGAAGAATGGCTTAATAATAAGTCATAATTTTGATCAATTTTGAAACGGAAAGTTTTGTCYGAAGATTTATGTATAATAATCTTGAGAAACACTAGAATAAAGATTTCACTAACTTTTGTTTTTGTTTTGTTTTGGGTTTTTAATTGGTTTTTGTTGTTAAATGTATTCTTTCCAGAAAAAGAATTGGTTGGACTCTTCTCTGAAATAGCTTCAAACTATTTTAATTTTTAGTTTGAGAACTTCTTGTATCAGACTAAAATTGACCACTTAAAGTATGTTTCACTGGTAGTTATATTTGCTGTGTAAGTTCTGCTACATAGAAATAGATTTTGTGCGTTCAGTTGTACTCTTGGATGATTTAAATAAATCTGCTCTTCATGTCACTCTATTTCTGTCTTTTTATGTGGAATCCCTTGAGCTTTATTAGTCCTGCTCTAGGTTTTCTTGTACAGTTGTTTGGTTTAAGTTGAGAGCTCAGCCCCCCACAGTTGCTCGGTTACTTCCCCATGGTGGGATGCAAGAAAAGAATCAAAAGGGTCAAAGCTGGAAAACTTACGGATTGTGTTAGAGATATTAAAATATGTAAAGCCAAAGCTGTGAATGCAGAAGCAAAACAAAGAATTAATTTATTGACCACTTTCCATGGGCATGCAGGTGTTTAGGCACTTATTGAAAAGCACAGTTCAGTCATGCATAATGGTTATTGGAAAGACAAATATCAATATTCCCAACATCTCTTTCTTCCTTCTTTTTCCTCCAACTTTGTATGTTAAGCATGCCACCATATGTTATGGGGTATCATTTTCGTCAGCTTTGGTCAGCTGTTTTGGCTGCATCCGCTTCCATCTTCTTGTGCCTTCCCAGCCCCTTCACTGGCAGGACACCATGAGGAGCTGAAAAGTCCTTGACCTAGTGTAAGCACTGCTCAGCAACAGCTAAAACATCAGTGTGTTGTCAATGTTATTCTCATCTTAAATCCARAGCACAGCACTATACCAGCTACTCGGAAGAAAAATATCTGTGTTTCAGACAAAATCAGAACAATTATCTATGATAGAAACAATCAGCTCAATCATTTTAACATGCATAAAAAGATTGGTTTTGAGAGTCGTGAGATTTGGGTTCTACTTTTAATTCTCCCACAGATTTTCTGATCGATTTGGGCTAAATAATTTAACCTGGTTYAGTATTTAAAAATACATATAAGTAAGTAATGTTAGCTTAGATCATTCAATGGCACTGCAGAAGTACTTCAGTTGAGATGGTTTTGACTTTTTACAAGTGTGTCTAGTGATAGAACAAGGGGTAATGCTTCAGACTGAAAGAGGATAGGTTTAGATTAGATATTATGAAGAAATTCTATGCTTAATAGAGGGTGATGGGGCACCAGAACAGGTTKTCCTAGGAAGCTGTGGATGCCCTGTCCGTGGAAGTGATCAAGAACAGGTTGGACAGGTCACTGAAAGTTGGTTCCTGAAAAACATTGTACCTGTCCTAGTTAGAATTCTTTTTCCCTTCAAATMGTGTTTAAGGTTTCCTGGGGTTTTATTAACCTCCCAAATACCTAGCTATTTTTTATATGTTATACCTCTACATTGTTTGGCCATGACTAGTTAGCTGGTTGTTCTCACAAAACTTCAAAGAGGATGATTTATGGATTTGGGTAAAATATATCTGTAAGTGAAAAAGGTAGTATAAAACCTATATGAAACTTAAACCTTAAATAAACTTCATCTTTTCATAATCAGATATTGTCATTTATATCAGCAGTGTTTATCTTGTATGTAAGGATGATGCACTTGTAGATTAGCATCTCTTTGAAAAATTTTGAATAGATGAGTGTATATTGTGTAGTTTTATTGATTCGTCCAAGATTTCACAAATATTCATTAGAAAGAAAGAAAGCAAGTACAATGTATAAACAATTCTGGAATCATAATTATCCAATGGACCAGCAAAAATCTGTTGCCATAGAGAAATTGCAATTTACAAAAATAGAAGTATTTTATGGGGGAAATGTTGACTACTTTTGTGATTGCTTACTTTGGGCTGTCAACTGGAAGTGTCTGTTAAAGCATATGAATGTACCAGGTGTGCTTTCCTTGTACTTGGTACTATTAGCCTACTTTTGCTTTACTATGTGGAAGAAGTGCATCCTCTGTATTTGTAGTATTCATGGAAATGTGGAAATTGCAATATTTTAACTGCAGCTTTTGTTGAAGTTAAATATAAATGTGTATATGTAATGAAAATAAGTTTGAGGCAAAAAAAAACTTTGCTAAAAGGTGCAGCATGTCAGGCTTGCCCTGTTTATCAGGTTTGTTTTTTTTTTTTTAATTAATCTGTTTTTACCACTTAAATGGAAAAATTAGATTTGCCTTTGGCTTTAAATCAGTCTTTTCTATTCACAGGAAGGTTCCCTTGTATGTTGTGTTACTCCATTGAAAACATTTCATAGTGCGAGCCAGAATTAATAACTGCTAAGTCTAGCATTTTCAAAGAAGTTAAAAAAAAGAAGGAAAATAACCCCTTTTTTTCCCCCTTTTCTCATGCATCAGCGTTTTCTATTAAAAAAGAAATAATTGGGGCAATTGTATACTTAGTGTCAAAATTGATATTGGCTGAGCAACTTATTTTTCCRAGTGTTTTTGGCCCTCATAAAGCTACTGTAGCATCTCTGTAGCAGTTCATTCTAGTTCACCTGGCTTTATATATTTATTTGCTTGGGGAAAATGATCCTGTCTGTAGTGAAATATGTGTTTCCCCTTCAAATCTATGTTATCTGAGGAAATTAAAATAAAAGCTTTTTAAGAAGTCCATTATAATATCTCAGAAAGACTTAAGACTCAAACTGGACTGTCCTCTGCAGTCAAGCAGATTAGCAAGACTAATGGAGAGTGGATGGGTGTACTACCTTTTTTATTTTTTTTGCCAAAACCCCGCTGTTCGTGTTTCTTCCTCTCCATATGTCACCCTGTTTTTATAAGCACTATGGTGATGTTTGAGGCTTCAGCTGACTGCAGGGTGCCTTTTTCAGGAGCGCTGTCCATGTACTGAGCAACACTTCTCCTGACAGTAGGAGAGGKGAGTGAAAATGGTGAGAATTGTGTGTTGTTCCCACCTTACAGGTGGGGAATTGATCCACCRAGAGTACAGGATCCTTCACAAGTCATGAAGGCTGAGGATAAGCCAGCCAGCAGCACAGCAAAGCTCCCCATGGTCTGTGCAGCTCCACACTCAGAAGGCCATAGTCATGACATGTAGTGAATCAAGCTCTCTCTGCCTTTTTTTTTTTTTTTTTT